TCGTTTTGTCTTTCGTACCTCTCAATTCCCCCCCCCACCCCCACCCCCGTGGTTGTCTCTGGTGGCCAAGCTTTTTGTATCATAACAATTTGCTATTGAAAGAGTCCTCCTCTCTAGCGAGGGTTGTATAAACTTCCTTTCTGGACATGTATATCTCTGTATCTAATCTGACTCCTGGTTCTGGTTCTGACCTAAGGTTGGCCAGCATCCCAGAAGCAACGTCGCACCATTGATTTATATAGGGGCATTATTATATTGGCTGATCTGTTTTCAATACCCTTCCTAATAATCCCCAGCATAGCATTGGCCTTCTTTATTGCAGTCACACACTGTCTCGACATTTTCAGTGAGTTATCTACTACAACTCCAAGATCTCTCTCTTGATCAGTCTCTGCCAGTTCAGAGCCCATCATGTTTTTGCATTTGATGTCTTATAGGCTATGGTACCAGGTTGATTGTCTTTTTACCTGCAGTTTCACATGCATGCTTATTACAACGGTGATGGAACGTGCTGTCCACCCACAGTTAACTTATGGTGACCCTGCAGGGGGTTCAAGGCAAGAGACATTAAGAGGTGGTTTGCCGTTGCCCGCCTTTGCATAGCTGCCCTGAACCACCTCGGTGCTCTTCCATCCAAGGAGTAACCAGGGCCAACCCTGCTTAGCTTCTGAGGTCAGGCTAGCCTGGTCCGTCTAGGTCAGGGTGCTTATTATAGTGAGATGTTAACAAAGAGGACATTCCTCAAGGGTTGTTTTTTTAAAAAAAACCACTATTCCCTTAGGTGATAACTTCCTCTTCCTGAAACACAGCAGTGTAATACTACTTCTTAGGTGAACTTCCATTGGTAGAGCCAAAATGTTGTGGTTTAAGGGAAACTGTGCAGGAGGGGGGGGGGGAAGTTGCTTCTTAGGTATGTCGTTTGTCTTCCTAGTTTCTACACTACCCAGGAGAGAGGTTGCATTAGGTGAGAACTCAGTGGGCTCCTGCATTCGAAACAATGTGAATGGTATGTGGAACGAGAGCCAGGGTAGTGTGGTGGTCCGAATCCCCACTCTGCCACGGAAGCTTGCTGGGTGATCTTGGGCCAGCCGCATAACGTTCAGCCTAACCTACTTCACGAGGTTATTGTTAGGATAAAATGAATGGGGGGGGGGAGAACAAAGTAAGCCTTTGGGTCCCTCCCCACTGGAGAGAAAGGTGAAGTATAAATGAAGTAGATAAATAAATACGCTGCCCATCAGCAAGTGTCATTTTCTCCTAAGTTGCATCGGTCCTGTTGTACATCCAGTCCAAGAACTGACGGACTGGAGTGTTCTGGTTAACGAAACAGGCATAAATAATCAAAGTGAGCTGAATGACTTGGGGGTTCGAGGATTCTGCTCCTGATCTTCCTGTAGCATCTAGTTGTGGCTGATGGTATAAACCTTTGAAGCAGAGTAACGGTAAAGCATGCGTTGTTCCTCTTCCTGAAACACAGCAGTGTAATAGTACTTCTTAGGTAAACTTCCATCATCATCATCATCATTATTATGACGTTCGACTTCTTATACCACCCTGACCCCTAGGGGTCTCTGGGTGGTTTACATGGAGGGTTCTAAGAACGCTTTTCTCCCTAACTAGGGCCACATTGAACAGGGACGGGGCTACCTACCGGCACCCAGGTGGAGCCAAAATGTTGTGGTTTAAGGGAAACTGTGCAGGAAGGGGGGCGGGAGTTGCTTCTTAGGTATGTCGTTTGTCTTCCTAGTTTCTACACTACCCAGGAGAGAGGTTGCATTAGGTGAGAACTCAGTGGGCTCCTGCATTCGAAACAATGTGAATGGTATGTGGAACGAGAGCCAGGGTAGTGTGGTGGTCCGAATCCCCACTCTGCCACGGAAGCTTGCTGGGTGATCTTGGGCCAGCCGCATAACGTTCAGCCTAACCTACTTCACGAGGTTATTGTTAGGATAAAATGAATGGGGGGGGGGAGAACAAAGTAAGCCTTTGGGTCCCTCCCCACTGGAGAGAAAGGTGAAGTATAAATGAAGTAGATAAATAAATACGCTGCCCATCAGCAAGTGTCATTTTCTCCTAAGTTGCATCGGTCCTGTTGTACATCCAGTCCAAGAACTGATGGACTGGAGCGTTCTGGTTAACGAAACAGGCATAAATAATCAAAGTGAGCTGAATGACTTGGGGGTTCGAGGATTCTGCTCCTGATCTTCCTGTAGCATCTAGTTGTGGCTGATGGTATAAACCTTTGAAGCAGAGTAACGGTAAAGCATGCGTTGTGGGGGCAAGTGGATCTTCAGAGGCTGAGGGGGATACATTTCTGTTTTGCTTGTGTCCTATTCATGAAGCCTCACTGGGTGGTTCACAGGAGGTTGAATCCCTAATGGAACTAGTATTAGGGCACTGCCTAGCGGTATTGGAAGCCTTTCAGTTCTCTAGCCAGGGGATGGTGATACTGGATAACCAGCTGAACAGTACAGCAGTCTCTCGAGGCACATCACCAAGAGCCAGTGTGGTATGGTGGTTAAAATGTCAGACCCAGGTTCAAATCTCCACTCCACCATTGGAAGCTTGCTGATGAGCCTTGGGCCTGTCACACACTCCCAGCCTCACCGACTTCAAGAGTTGTGGTGTGGATAAAACGGAGGAGAGGAGAACACATAAGCAGCTTTGAGTCACCACTGGCAGGAGGGAATGGTGGGGTATAAATGAAATAAGTAGAGAAAATATATGGTGGATAACTACAACCAGGGCTCTTTTTGTAGAAAAAGCCCAGCAGGAACTCATTAGCATAATAGGCCACACCCAACAGCAGGAACTCATTAGCATATTGGGCCACACCCCTGACAGCACAGCTCATTAGCACATTAGGCCGCACCCCCATGTTACCAGAAGTGTGGTCATCCAGCCACACCCACCTTTTGCTTGTTATTCTGTTGACCTTGTTTGTTGTCAAAACCCAGGGGGGTTTTTTTGTAGCAGGAACTCCTTTGCATGTTAGGCCACACACCCCTAATGTAGCCAATCCTAATGCGTTTCTGCTGTTGGGTGTGGCCTATTATGCTAATGAGTTCCTGCTGGGCGTGGCCAACTTGGGAGCCAGCCGGAACTCCGTTCCTGTGCGTTCCTGCCCAAAAATAGCCCTGATTACAACTAATAATTGCAACTTATTGTAACTAGTCCATATAAGCTAGTCTGGTGTAGTAGTTAGAGTAGAGGTGTTGAACTCATTTGTTATGAGGGCCAGATCTGATGTAAATGAGACTTTGTCAGGGCGGGCCGTGTGTGTCTGTCTGTCTCTCCCCCCACCCCCAAAAGCTCATGCCTTGAATAAAGCTTTGTTGGTTTTAAAGGTGCTCTGTATCTCTCCCATGCGATTGAGGGAACTGGGCAAAGTAAGCTCTTGCTCTTTCCC